TTATACAAAACAGACCTAATTGAGAACCTGAGTGGGAACTTTCTCTCTAAAAGATGCCCCCCCCTTTATCTCGGTGGAACACAATTTAGGTTGCTACCTGAATGTGTGTCTCACAGGCTGCAGCTCGTTTTTGCTCAAATAAATGCTTTTTATTTTTTATTACAGTCTAAAATTAGTTTTGATTTACATTGGTCTTTCCTTTATGATTTCTTACATCACTCTTAACCATAGAAAGCCTCTAATCAAGAGATTTAATATTTGGGGCCGGCCAAGTGGCGCGATGGTTAAGAACTGGCTTGGGACGCCAGAGGGCCCCGGTTCGGATCCCACATATGAGGGCCAGTGACACTGCCCTCCACAGCTAAGATGCTGAACAACAGCTCAACCTGGAGCTGGGCTGCCATGAGTCGCCCGCGACGGGTAGGCTGCAGCCCCTGCTGCAGTGGGTTGCCATTGGTTACCGTATGTAGCCAGCAGCCAGCGTGAGCAGCCAGCAGCTGCAGTGAGCGGCCGCCTAGAAGCCGGCGACTGATCTGCCTCGCCCGGGAAGAGCGCAATGATGGTGCCAACTTGGGCCAGTGAAGCAACGTCCTCCACAACTAGACTGAAGAACAAAATGACAGCAACTTGTCTGTTCCCCTTCCCCCAATTCCCCCAGCACTGTTCCCATCCCCCCAATTCCCCAATTAAAAAAAAGAGAGATTTAATATTTGTTTTCTCACAGTTTTAAAAGGGTTTGCTTTTGAACATTTGATTATTTTGATTCCTTTTATAACAACAAAATATATTATTAAAGAATTAGTACACACTTGCATAAAATCTACATTTATTTCCAAATTGATCTGGAATTCATATTTAGTATCATGGGAGAAAGTAAACATCTTTGTTCCAATCAGATACTGAAGTTCCCCTAGCACTGCTGATTAAAAAATTCACCCTTTCCCCACTGACTTCTGCAGCTGTCTCCTCTTGCATATGTTCAATTCACAACCATTTGCACCTAAAGCAAAGACAAGAAACAACAACATAGTGCTTGAAGGGAATGTGATAATACAACTGAAGGCGGGGAGGGGATAGTTGCCAGGCAGGAGGTGGGCCAACCGCTACCCAGAGGGCGAGAAAAAGGTAGAAAAAAGCCTCTTTTTTGTCAAACAAGTATTCCTTAAAGATTCCATCCTTGTGTGTGACATGGAAGCCACTTGCTCTCCTGACATTTGGCTAATCACTTCATGTGCTGGTCTCATGAGTCCTGTGCAGATAATAATAATACCCACAGCATAGGGTCCTGTGTACATGAGAGCTAATTCGAGTAAGGAGCACAGGCTCCTTCAGTTAGTCTCCACCACTAACTAGCTGCCTGGACCTAGATAGTCTCCTAATTTTCCAGCCTGTTTCCTCATCTGAAGTATATGGCAACTAACAGTAATTAACATTAATAGTAAATTAGAAAGTAAGAGTGACAGCTGTCTTATGGTATGGGATTGCTAAAGGGATTAAAGAGCTATTGCAGGGCCAGCCAACTGGCGCTTTGGTTAGGAGTTGGCTTGGGACACCAGCTCTGAGCAGCAGGGCCCCGGTTGGGATCTCACATGAGGGCCAGTGACGCTGCGCCCTCTACAGCTAAGATGGTGAACAACAGTTCGACCTGGAGCTGGGCTGCTGTGAGTCGCCGGCGATGGCGTAGGCTGCAGTGGGGCTGGCCGGCAGCAGGCATGAGCTTTCATGAGCTGCCGTGAGCTGCCGTGAGCCACCGTAAGCGGCCTTCTAATGGCTAGCGAGCAACTGCCGCACCCGGGAGGAGTGCAATGATAACACCAACATGGGCCAGTGAGGCGACGTCCTCCATGACTAGACTGAAGAACAAAAGTACAGCAACTTGTCTGTTCCCCTTCCCCAATTCCCTAACGCTGTTCCCTCCCCTAATTCCCCAATAAAATCTTTAAAATAAAAAAGCTACTGCATTTAAAGGGTGCCTGGCACATACATAAGCTTTCAACAATTCACAGTTGTGATTTTAATTACCATCCCTATTATGGAAGGTTCAGGAAGAGAAAGAAGAATCAGCAAAGGATATTGAGAAGTAGGCACCAAAAAGATTGAGAAGTAGGCACCAAAAGGAGGGGAACAATGAGACAAGGTTGTCATGGAAACTAAGAAGGAAAAATACTAGAAGGAGGGAGATAATGTAAAAGAAGGTCATTCAAAGGCTAGTTTCTCCTGACAAAAGACATTTCATCTGAGCAAGTAATGAGACTGAAGGGAGAGAGGAAGGAAAAAACCTATAATCATAAATGAAGACTATCAGAAACAAAATTCTCTAAAAACCCTCCTTTGGCTAACTCCCGTAGAATGATCTGACTGCCCAGGGGTCAGATCATGTCTTCCACATGGGCAAAATACATATTTCCTGAATAAAGGAAAAACCAGTGTCACACAAAGTGAAATAAAGGATCGAGTTTGCATCATTTTGGTGAAATAAAAATTGAGACAATTTCAAGTTTACACAACAGCGAAGAGGAGGAGGGAGGGCCTAAAGGGGATGAATCAAAGAACAGTTTCCAAAGCAGTGGTCTATACCAAACCCCCAAGCTGACTCCAGTGAAAAAGAGGGTGGTGGGGGCCGGCCGAGTGGCACGATGGTTAAGAACTGGCTTGGGACACCAGAGGGCCCCGGTTCGGATCCCACATATGAGGGCCAGTGACACTGCCCTCTACAGCTAAGATGCTGAACAACAGCTCAACCTGGAGCTGGGCTGCCATGAGTCGCCGGCAATGGCGTAGGCTGCAGCCCCTGATGCAGTGGGTTGCCATGGGCTACCGTGTATAGCCAGCAGCCAGCGTGAGCAGCCATCCAGAAGCTGGCGACTGATCTGCCTCGTCCAGGAAGAGCGCAATGATGGTGCCAACTTGGGCCAGTGAAGCAACGTCCTCCACAACTAGACTGAAGAACAAAACGACAGCAACTTGTCTGTTCCCCTTCCCCCAATTCCCCAGCACTGTTCCCATCCCCCCAATTCCCGAATTAAAAAAAAATCTTAAAAAAAAGAGGGTGATGGAAGGTGTAGCAGTTATTTTTTACTCTATTTGGGACCAGAAAGAAATTATGACAGCATAGACTGTTTATCTGAGTAAATCATTCAATGTGGGGAGGAAGTGGAATATTATTGCACTATGAGATAGAAGAGGGAACAGACATTCCCCTCCCCACCTGTCCTTAAGTGCAGGTAGAACTTGGGGAAGAGGCCCTTGGGAGGACAGCTGGGGAATGTTGGGGCCCTTGTGGCTTTGGGGGCTTGACTGGAGCCACCTCCTTCCTGGCAGTGGAGGAGGGGTCACTTTGGGCTCTGGAGAGATGGAGGTGGCTGCCAGGGGCCCAGAAGTGCCCAAGAGGGATGCAAGAAGCAGGCCTCTTGAGCCTTTGCTCCTGGCCAGTTCTCAGGTAAAGGGTCCCAGGCAGATGGGACCTCCCAGTCTCTGGCCATGAGGGCTAGGAGTTGAGGCTTAAGGCAAACATGGAATGTGGGGGTAGGGAGGGGTGATGGCAGAGCAGGGGAGGCTGAGCCTCCCCACCTCCACCAAGAGAGTGTGAGAGTGTGGCTTGGGGTGGGGGTTGTGAGGACAGATTGTGGGGTGACAGATGGAACAGGAGTGAGAAGCCAGGGAGGCGCTGATGGGGGAGGGGTGGTTCTGAAAGGAGAAGCCCCCAAAGGCAGAATCTGGGCGCAGCAGCCCAGGGAAGGCTGCAGTGGGCTTCTGGCAGTGGCTGGCTTCTCCCCCCTTCCTCAGGGCCTCAACCTGCTGGGACCCCTTTGTCCCTATGGAGCAGGCCAGTAGCTGCTAGCATAGAGCCCCAACACTTCCCTCCCCTCAGGACCACACAGCCCAGAGTTCTGTGTGAAATTCCTGGGTCTGCAGTTCCTACCAGGCTTCCTGTCGGCCTAGATATGAGTCCCCAGTCTGGTCATCTGCCCTCTCCCCCCTCCTCCTGTCCCCTACCCACACATCTATGCTTCCTCTCCTCAGCACGCCACCTCCCACTGCAGCACGCCCTGTCCTCTCAGCCCTGTTTTCTTCCTGACAAACTCCTTCAGGTCTGCATTCATTTCACTCCCTGCCTGAAATGAAATCATCCCCCCACCCCCAACCTTGTCCTGCTCACAAGGATAGGAACTGATACAACTATGAGGAACATAGGACCCTCAGGGACTGAGGTCACACATTACTTTTTATCACCTTTCAATCTGAGGCCATGAGATGGGGCAGGAGCTGGTGTCCAGGAAGCTCCTTCTGTGCCCTCTCTCTTCCTAATGCCCTCAGTTCTAAAAGGGTATGTGGGCTTTCCAATTCCCGTTTTTTTTCACATGCCCTGGCATCCAGAATGTTTTTCATCATTCCCTGGCTATTTCCATTTCTTGAGTCAGGGTGAGGTTAGCTTGGATCCTTGGGCTGCTGGCATCTTCTAGCATGTAGCTAGGGTGAGGCTTGGGGGACCTGAGCCTCCTGTTACTGAACTCTCAGGAACAGCTGCTTTTTCTGTACTTGGGGAGGAGGTAGAGGGTAATGTCAGTGCAAAGGACAGTCTTCTTGTCACCATCAGGTGTTGTCCAGAAGCAGCATTAGCAGCAATCTAAGGAATCTCCCCAGGGAAGGGAGAGCTGCCACTTCCCAAAGTGAACAGGAATGGAGCTCCTGAAGTAGTCATTCACCGTTTTTGCCCCCACCCCCTCCCATCATCAGATTTCTTATATGCATTGGAGCAGCAAGCATTGGGACATTAGTAACTAGTGGGTACAGATTTGTCTCTGTGACTCAGGAGACCAGTCAGTTGTGATAGGGGCTCTTTAAGATAGAGCCCATTTCAGCTTCCTTTTCCCTCATCTGTAAATGAGGTTGATAAAAAGTCCACAGTATGACCCTCCCCGTTACAGCTTTTATATTTAGTTTTCTTATTTATTTTTCCTCTATACAAAGTACTAACACAGAGACATTAAACTTGATGCTTATATATATTTATTGACATAGACAGCCACAACATATATTGTTTGGTGAAAAATACACAGTACAGAACAGCACTGATACTTGATCACTTTTCTCTGTACATATATCTATCTGCGTACACAGGTACAGGAAATAACTAGAAGAACATTCATCAAATGGCTGACAGTGGTTATATAAGAGTGGAGTGTTTCAGGTAATTTGTACTTTAGAGTTTTTGTATTTTCCTCTATTTTTTGAAAGTTTAACAGAGAATTATACTCCTTTCATGAAATAAAGTCATCAAGGAAATAAACACAGAATACACAGATGGAGGAGGGAGCAGGAACAGAGGTCAGGCCGTGCCCTTCACTTTGCTGGTATCCAAGACCTCTTCTTCCCCCAAAGAAAGACACTTTGTGTATTAGTTCACGTACATAGATGCCTATGCACACTCCCACCCCCTTTTTTCTCAACACTAGTCGAATATAGTTAAGGATTCACTTAGGGCTGGGTATACCAACTTACTGTGGCTCAGAGGGGTCCTTGTGTTCACCAGGGACCTCTTTTGACCTCTCCTCCTCTGTATGTGTCAGCTCCTGCAGGGTGATGATCAGATTCTCAAATACCTGGGCCTTGTTGCTCTCATTGTCACAGGTTTCCTTTGAGTGGCCCTCCGTGCCACAACAGGAACAGCGGATTGTGGATTGTGTATTTTCGCTTCTTGGATCTATGCATATCCCCAGAAACCCCACTGGTAGAAGGAGACTGAGCCCAGGAACTGCTGGGGGCATCAATGACCAGTGTTTGATCCTGAGGTCTGACCCTGCCTCTGAGGGGAGCGGCACCCATGGATGGAAGTGGAGGGTCCGGAGACGCCACCAGGATCACATCCTCATCTGAGTCATTGAGGATATCTTCTAGCTCTCTCACGCTGCAGTCAGCACTGCTGATTGCTATTGGCTGGGGGCCCTGAAATGCCACAGGGCTTGCTGCCCTCTCTATGATTAGCTCAGATCTCTTTGCCCACCTCAGTTTCATAAAAGTGTCATCCCAATCCTCATCCTCCCTTATCATCTTGATTAACTCCAGGAAATTGGGGAGATGTTCCTGCTCATTTGTGTACATCCTGAGGAGATGCTTCAGCCTGTAGCGCAGGTCCCCATTCAGCTCAGCCCCTAAAAGGAGCTGGTGCAGGCGAGTCTGGTTTGCGTCTTTCTCAGCTATGATCCCTGCCTGAATAGCGTTCTGGAGCTGCACCTCTAAACGGATCACATAAAGGGAGGCTTTCTCCCCTTGTGCCTGCAAAGTGTTGAAAAATTTACCATGGGCAGTTGACGCTACTTTCAGACTCCCCAAACAGCAATTTCATTGCACTCAAGAAATCTGCCACACTTAGGCTGGGGTTGACTGCCTGGAGCAAATGCATGACCTCCCCAGCTGGGCCCCTAAGGGTTTTCATCAGGTGCTTGAGCTTTTCCTCCTCGGACATATTCCAATCTGGTAGGACCCCATTGACTTGGATCAGCCAGTTTTCAAAGTTATCTTCCCCTTGGGCTCGCACCACCGTCCCTGAAAACAACTTCATGTTTCTTTCTGCCATGTTGACCTTTAAAGGACCAAGACTCCTCCCCCCAAGTCTTGGGGCAAGGGTGTGTTCTGCCCCCAGCTACTACCCACACGTGCAATGATGCTAGCCATGATGTAATGATTGTCTATATATAACAAGATGCTCAGGCTTATTAGAAAAGCCTAATCTGCAGGAGGAATACTCAAAGCAACGTTCCTGGGCTCTTCCTTCCGTGTATCTCAATAGGAACTGTCAAGAAAAGGGGGGGGGAGGGTCCATAAGGTGGGAGAGCACAGGGAAGCAGTCTACAGTCACTTTCTCTACCTTCCTGAACGCCCTGCAGTAGATTTTATACTTGCCCACTGCCCTAAAATTACCCTGCAGGAGACCGTCAATTACAACCTTCTGGAGCTAGGGGATGTCCCATGCTAGCAAGGATGCTTTTCAGAGCCACATCCATACCCTCTGGTCAGTCCTCCAGAAAGGAGGGGAAAGGGCAACTGTTGCTTCGAATTCTAGGTAAGAGTGGGTGGAACTGAGTTGGGCTCTCAAAATAATATGCAATGGTCTAAGTCTTACAGCTTTGTGGTGATAAGATCTCCATTAAACTTACCATCTCAGGTTTCAACCACACCCCCCTCCTCAAACTTTGACCTGTTATTGCTCAGATGCTTACATGAACTCAAAAACAAAGTGTGCGGCCTTAATTTCACTTCCAGCCTCTGCAAAGGTACCGTCCGTGGGAAAGCTTGCTTCAGGGATAAGTTGACTTTTGTACACCGGTAGTTGAATATCCCAGTCCTCAGGGCGTCACGGAGGGCAAGGCAGTGAAGAGATGGGTCAGAAGCAGCCCCATTCCCTCACCCCGCTCCCCTCCTCCAACCTCTGCTGTACTCAAATGGAAAATTCCCTCTCCCATCTTCTGAATACAAGCCAAAGTGACCCCTCCATTACATTTTCCCAAGGAAATCGTCAGCCTACCAGCTCTGCAATCAGCTGCACAGAATTCAAGTTCGGATTCGGCTTTGATGGCCTGTCACTGAGAAAGGGAATAGGAGTTGGACACACCCGCCCTCATATTCCTCCGCAGGAGGAGATGAGGAGAGGCAAAGGGGATTGATTCAAGGCAGACAGTTTGCGATTCTCCTCCCCACCGCCGCGCCTCTTACCACCCTCTGAAAACACCCCCTCTCAATTCAGGCAAATCCTACCCACTGGGCAGCACCCAGTGGCACCCCACCTCCTCCCTCAGTGTAGCCGGGCTACGGGAGTGCTCCTTCCCTGCCCCGCAAATATCCATTCCCCAAGCGGAGAGCCTCCCAGTCCTGGTGGGGCTTCCCCCATCTTCTCCCCGCTCCGGGCAGTCGCACCCCCCCGCCTTTTTTTACCTGTACTCGGCCGGTGGGCAGAGGATGGTCCTGCGTGGACAGCGAAGGATGCCGCTCTCGTCTCTGTGGTCCTGCATGGGGGGGAAAAGATGACGCCTCCTCGGCCCCTAGCGACCCGGGGCTGCGAGATCGAGCTGTTTCGCACCGCCGCCCAGATGGGGGAGGCCAAGTCGAGGCTGCACAGTTCCCACGGCAGCCGTGGTCGCCCCCGCCTACCCGCTGGGCCCTCCCAGCAGCCGCCGCTTCTTTCAGCCTTTGCCCAATTGGGATGAAAGACGTGATGAGCCGGGCGACGCGGCCAATCAGTGGGGCGCGGGGGCAGCCTCCCTGCGCAGCCTCGGACCCCGGCCTTTGCTAGCAAAAAGGGGAGCCTGGGGGCGGGTGCTGCAGCACACAGGCGCGGGAGCCGGCGCGGTGTCAAGTGCAGTTTGGACGCACGCATCGGGCCGATTTGCAATTTACTCGTGAGTTTGCTGCTTTCCCCTCGCTTCCCTCTTCTCTCTCCCCTTCCACCTCACTCTCCTTCGCGCTTTGAGACCGGATCCATTAAACACGAGGTGGGACAGAAAGCAAGTGAACAGTAAGAGTTCCTCACCTTTGTCTAGCGGGCAGGGGGAAAAACATATACTGAGCGCTTTCTGCGTACAAATGTGCTTGCACGGACATCTCATTGATTCTTCTCAGCAGCCTGGGGAAGAAGGTAGCAGCGTGCCCATTTAACAGAGAGGGGGCTTCAGTGCCCAGGCAGTACGATTAGGAAGTCCAGAGCTAAGAGCTCCCGCCCAAGTCGACATGTCTGATTTCAAAGGCTGCCTCTGGTAAACACTCCTCTCTACTCTCAGATCGAGGGTTAGTGGAGAAGAGCCAAAGTGGAGATGGAGGGCCCATTTGGAACAATATGGAATTCGAGTGTAAGGACTATTGTCTCCATTTCACAGATGAGGAAACGGGCACAGATGTCTTGCCTGGGATCTCATAGCAAATAAGTATCATCATTTGATTTTGCACCCAAGTCTGTTGTTCTCCAAATGCCAACTATTTGCCTGGCTGAGCTGCCTAGCAAGCCTTTTTACACCAGTGGTTTCAAACCATCTCAACAGCAGCCTTGGTGTGCTGGTAGTGCTGAGAGAGAGGTGGGGGAAGAGATAGGCAACTTTCAAGGTATCCATTGTACAGAAGAGGAAAGTGAGGCATTTTTCTTTCTCTTTTTATACTACAACAAACGGCCAGTTTATTTTAAAAAGGAAAACATTATTTCTACAGCGTATAACCCCAAAGAACATAAGGCTCAGAGAGATGAAATAACTTGCCTGAAATTACAAGGTGAAGATAAAATATGAACCAAGTCTCTGATGCCAGAACCCATGCTTTCAACCAAAGTATAGGTGCAAGGCTGGCTGCCTCAGAATCATTTTGGAGAGCTTGTGAGAAATGCAGATTCCTGAGCCCCACCTCTGGGGGATTCGGCTTTACTAGGAAGAGGGGTGGGGAGTGTGATTTATATTTTTAAACAGTTCTGTTCTTAATTCTGAGGTGTAGAGAGGTTTGTAAACCACTGCTGAAAACACCACATCGTGCTGAGTGTAGTAAGTAAGTAGGCCTGCTGCCCATGTACCTGTCCAAAACATACCTGTCATGAGACGTAACTCCAGAGCAAAGGTTCCCACCTAGAGTCTTTCCTGAAATGGTTGGCAAGGAATTTGGACTCTGTGTATCTTTCTGAGTTCACAGGTTGGTAGATTTTCAAATGAGTCGGTGGCCCAGAAATGGTTAAAAACCATTCCCCTACATCTTGTAAGAATGTAATAGCTTCTTTTTTCAACTTGAACTTGAGAAAGAACTGTGATAAATGAAACACAATTTGACCTAACCCCCAACCACGGCTCTCTGCCGCTGATAGAGCTCTTTCATTTCCTGGCTTCAGGACAGGTTGCTAGGTTGCCCGTCTGTGAGCTCTTGAGGGGACCTCTCCTTTGCTGGGTTTGCCATCACTGGCCCTAGAGAAGGAGCAACTCCATGGAAACGGCATGCAGGGCTGTCCCAGAGTGAATGGGCCGTGAAGCCAGGGGCTAGGGAACCTGCTCCATTTTCCATGACTTGAGGGGCTTGTTCTTGACTTCTAATGCTTGAAAGCAAATGAACGATCTGATGCTCTTTGACTGCTGGGTTCATCTTCAACCTGCCAAGGTACTTCACCTGCTCCTTTTTGCCTTCTTATTTACAAACCTAACATCTAGAGTTCCTTGGAATAAACAATTCAAACTTGGAGATGAAGCACCTTCCACCTGAAGACTGTGGACTTTCTCTTGTGGATGGACTACTGTGGGGGGTAGAGGGTGTGGGAGGTAGAAGGCTTGCCTTACACGGTCAGGGGTGATGCTGGCAGTAGTTCTTGGGTTTCCTTAAGATTCTTGCATCTGCTCCCCAGTCTCATGATATCTGACCCTGGTCTCAGCAGACCCTTCTTCTGTGTTTAAATTGGCTTTGTCACCAAATTAGGTGATCTGTGGTTGCACCTGGTGGGGTGGGATCAAATAGGACAAAGACTATATATTGTAGATCTTAAAAGCTCTGACAAAAAAAATATTGAAAGGAAATGGACTGTGTGATGGTGCCTGGATCGGGCTATTAGAACAAAGTGAAGGTCTCTTAGTGTAAGGCTGAGATGAAGATTTGTTAATATGTCTCCAGTTGGATACAGAGCACCACTTATCTCTGGCCTCATGTGTGGGAGTGTGTTCCAATTCATGGCTCTAATGAGACCACATTTTCCAGTTTCCATAAAGAAACTTTAAAAGCCTGAAGATTAGGGAGTAATGCTTTCAGTTGAAACAATAATAGCTGCCCTTGGCTGCCTGCCTCCTCTATGCCAGAATCTTTCCATGTGTTATCTCATTTAAGCTCCTTAGCTACCCTGTTGAGACAGACATTGTTTTCCCATTTTGCAGGGAAACTGAGTTTCAGGGAAGTTAAGTAACTTGTATAAGGCCACACAACTGGTAAATGGAGGCACCGGGACTACAGCCCAGTGCTGTCAAACTCCAAAGGCCATGAACAACTCTTCTCTGCTGCCTTCCAAACAAAAAATTGAAAATGCACACTGCAGATGACCCAGTGCATTAGACTGATTTTAGCGTTTAGAACAATGTAGTTGTAATATTACCTTTATTCCTGGAACCTCATTTTTTTTAATGAAAACTACTAATATAACATGAAGCAACTGAAATACCAAGTACTGTGATAAGCGTGTTATATACTTCATCTCATGCAACCTTCATGCCAATCATTTTACAGATAAGGATACTGAGGCTCAGAGAGGTGAAGAGACTTGGCCAAAATCATAAAGTTAGGAAATGGCACCGTGAAATTCAAACCCAGGGCTGTCTGACTCCAGAGCCTATGTCTGTATGCCAAAACACACTGTGGTGGGGAAAACAAATGTGGCCCTCATTCTAAATCAGCTTCTCTGTGTGAGTCAAAGATTTGTCTCCTTCCCATGGCCTATGTCCAGTGCCATGCACCACTTATGCTTGCAGGCCACTGTGCTTTAGTCCTCTTCCTCGGCCTAGAATGTCTGACCTAACGAGAGGCTGCTCATTGGTTAAGAATCAAGTCAGATGCCCCTCCTGGGAGAAATTTTTTGCTGCTCCCTATCCCGGGTGGAATCCATTGTTCTTGTCTTTCTGCTCTACCTTGATTAGTACACCCTTTATTTTGTCTTCCAGTAGAGCTTAGCTCATTGTTGACCAGACTCCCCCACTAGATTCCCAAGGCCTTGAGGGCAGGCACCAATTCTTATTCACCTCCAGCTCCACAGAGATTTACCCAAAGTGATTTAGTAGATGATCAATACATGCTTGTGGGCTGATCAAAGGACTGGCTCAGGGACGCCCTGGATGAATGGATAAATGTGGGGCTCGATCCTGGAGTGTTCACACAGGCTGTCCACCTGGACTAGACTGGCCAGGGGAGTCTGGAATCCCCTGGGCTTACTTTACTAGGCTGTAAATGCAGGAGGTACATCATAGGTTACAGGGAGTAACAGCTCAAAGTCCACTCTAGGCCTATCCTGTGGTCTCAACTTTGGAACTCATGTTAAGGGACCCGGCTGTCCACGATTGTTTCAAGACACCTTGGTATTCACAGAAGAAAGGTCTTCCTTGCCTCCCAGTGAACATGGATTTGTTCCACCATACTACATCTTGTGGTTCTGGCTGGCCTGAGTGTTGTACAGGAGTGTGTGCTCTGTGGAGAGGTCAAGAAGCATCCTTTTTTTAAAAAAAAATACTTTTTATCGAGGCCACCATGCCATGCATGTTCAACCACTTTATCTCATTTGATTTTATTAATCTTTGCAACAACCTCTTGAGGGAGGTTTGCTGTCCCTATTTTGTAGCCAAAGAAACCAAGACTGAGTGAAGTGCCTTGCCTAAGGTCACACAATTAAGTAAGTGGTGGAGGCAGAATTCAGTCTTAGGTCCATCTGCCTCCAAAGCCTGGCATCTTCACAGAACAATACATGGGAGAAAAGTAGACTACCGCCTCCCCATAAAATAGGAAGAATTCGATTTATTAAATGATGAATTTGGTATTTAAGGTAAGGTATTTCTAAATTATTCACCTGTAATCCCTGAAAATGATTGGCAAAAATGGCAGAAAGAATCAGGGATGGCAAAGCATAATTAATTCCTCTATCATATATTTGCCCAAATTTCCCCATTTCAACCCTCTGTGACATGAATAGTATGAGGATGCCCCAAGTGCATTTTACCCTGTCTGCTCATTTTATAACTGAGATGGGGGAGTCCAAGATGCCAATGAATTTCTAAAAGGCACACAGAACTGGCACTTAGAATGCGGGTCTGGCTGATGTTGTATAATATTGTATGTCAAGTATAAGTGAAAAAAAATATATATATATATGGTCATGGGACGTGGAGTATAGTGTGGGAGTGGAGTCAAGGGATTTGTAATAGATATGTATGATATTGGGGTGGAAATGGGGCAGCGGATTGGGGGAGGGGGGTTGTCACTTCGAGGGCTAAAAAGTATAACTATTGCACTCTGTTGTACAGCTGAAACTAATTCTAAAAAGTGTGTATTTCATAATAAAAAATAATTTAATAAAAAAAAAGAATGCGGGTCTGCCAAATCCTAGCCCAGTTTTCTTTCTGCTAAGTCAGCCTGCCTTATGCAGCTAGTCAACACTTGTTTATAGGTTACTCAGGAAAATGTGGGGAAGAAGTGGAATCTTTTTTTTGTTTGTTTATTTGTTTTAAGCTGAGCCATCCTGCCACCTGTTGGCAGCTCAGCGGCTGCTCAGCTCGGGCCGGGAATCGAACCGTTGTTGCTCAGAGCTCACACTCTTGAGTGAGCTCTTAACCAACTGAGCCACTCGGCCAGCCCAAGAAGTGGAATCTTATTGCACCCTGAAATAGAGTGCCCCTGTAGTGCCCCTTTTCCACATGCCATTCTGCCAAAATCCTTCGGACAGACATTCCCCTCCCCACCCGTCCTTATTTAAGTGCAGGTAGAACTTGGGGAAGAGGCCCTTGGGAGGACAGCTGGGGAATGTTGGGGCCCTTGTGGCTTTGGGGGCTTGACTGGAGCCACCTCCTTCCTGGCAGTGGAGGAGGGGTCACTTTGGGCTCTGGAGAGATGGAGGTGGCTGCCAGGGGCCCAGAAGTGCCCAAGAGGGATGCAAGAAGCAGGCCTCTTGAGCCTTTGCTCCTGGCCAGTTCTCAGGTAAAGGGTCCCAGGCAGATGGGACCTCCCAGTCTCTGGCCATGAGGGCTAGGAGTTGAGGCTTAAGGCAAACATGGAATGTGGGGGTAGGGAGGGGTGATGGCAGAGCAGGGGAGGCTGAGCCTCCCCACCTCCACCAAGAGAGTGTGAGAGTGAGGCTTGGGGTGGGGGTTGTGAGGACAGATTGTGGGGTGACGGATGGAACAGGAGTGAGAAGCCAGGGAGGCGCTGATGGGGGAGGGGTGGTTCTGAAAGGAGAAGCCCCCAAAGGCAGAATCTGGGCGCAGCAGCCCAGGGAAGGCTGCAGTGGGCTTCTGGCAGTGGCTGGCTTCTCCCCCCTTCCTCAGGGCCTCAACCTGCTGGGACCCCTTTGTCCCTATGGAGCAGGCCAGTAGCTGCTAGCATAGAGCCCCAACACTTCCCTCCCCTCAGGACCACACAGCCCAGAGTTCTGTGTGAAATTCCTGGGTCTGCAGTTCCTACCAGGCTTCCTGTCGGCCTAGATATGAGTCCCCAGTCTGGTCATCTGCCCTCTCCCCCCTCCTCCTGTCCCCTACCCACACATCTATGCTTCCTCTCCTCAGCACGCCACCTCCCACTGCAGCACGCCCTGTCCTCTCAGCCCAGTGGAGCTCCTATTCACCATAAATTGCCTCAGGTTCTCAGATCTGCAGTAAGTATTGACTTCTTTTTTTTTTAGGTTTTTTTAATTGGGGAATTGGGGGAGGGGAACAGTGCTGGGGAATCGGGGGAAGGGGAACAGACAAGTTGCTGTCCTTTTGTTCTTCAGTCTAGTTGTGGAGGATGTTGCTTCACTGGCCCAAGTTGGCACCATCATTGCGCTCTTCCCGGGTGAGGCAGATCAGTCGCCGGCTTCTGGACGGCCGCTCACTGCGGCTGCTGGCCGCTCACGCTGGCTGCCAGCTACACATGGTAGCTTATGGCAACCCACTGCAGCAGGGGACTGCAGCCTACGCAGTCGCCGGCGACCCACAGCAGCCCAGCTCCAGGTTGAGCTGTTGTTCAGCATCTTAGCTGTAGAGGGCAGTGTCACTGGCCCTCATATGTGGGATCCGAACCGGGGCCCTCTGGCGTCCCAAGCCAGTTCTTAACCAACGTGCCACTCTGCTGGCCCCAGTATTGATTTATTCTTAATCCTAAATTTCCTTCACCGGCTCCCTGGTTACCTCTCATACTACCCAATCTGCTCCAGAACCATTCTCAGGTGTGAACAATAGTTTGGAGTCTTTGCACTGCCTCTTCCCTCTGTTATAGTGGTTCTGAACCAGGGGCAATTTTGCCCCCCACCCTGGAACATATGGCAGTGTCTGAAATATTTCTGGTTGTCATAGCTGGGTAGGTCACAGCTGGTGCTACTGGCATCTAGCTAGTAGAGGCCAGGATACTGCTAAATATTCTATGATGTTCAGGAAAGGCACTAGAACAAAGAATTACATGGACCCAAAATGTCAGTCGTGTCAAGATTGAGAGCCCCTGCTCTATTATATAGTTACAGGTCTACAAGGTTAAGCTTGGAAATTGCCAGGTGTGGAGCCTTTTCGTGCTGAATTTCTAGGAACAGCTTCTTCTCTTTCTGTTCCTCATTCTGGAGAGGGGCGTGGGGTGTTGCCATGAAACAGCTACAGCATAGGCAGGAATGTACAGAAAAGGAGACAGGGAGACTCCCCACTCCTCTAATTTCTACCAACTTTTTGAGAAAGTACTGGACTATAGCTTTTTAATGCCTTTCCGCCTCTACAAGATAGTGCCACTTTTTGGAAAGAGAATAGCAACTTATTCTAGCAATTGATCAAATGCAAAATGTCAGGTGGTGAAAGCTGAGTGCAATAGGTTTTGGAACCCTCCTTCCCCAAATTTATTTTCATCAATCGTAAACCTTCTTTGAATATTAGAATATTTGCTGTGTCAGCAAAACCTTGTAGAGGTGACTTCTGCCTTTAAGGTTGACAAATTCTTTTTTATTTTATTTTATTGGGGAACACTTTGTTTTTCCAGGACCCAAGTCAAGTAGTTGATTCAATCTAGTTGTGGAGGGCGCTCGAGGACCTATCAGCTCCAAGTCAAGCAGTTGCCTCTATCCAGTTGTGGAGGGCACAATTCAGCAGCCCATGTGGGGATCAAACCGGCAACCTTGGTGTTATGAGCACTGCACTCTAACCAAATGAGCTAACCAGCTGCCCCAGGTTGATGAGTTCTTAAGTGTGTGCTTATTTCTTAGAAACTGGCCCAAAAAGTGCCTTGTATCCGTAGAGCTGAGTTTCTTGGGGCTCTCTTTCTAACTAAGAAGTGAAAATGCTCACCAACAGATTTAATGGTCAGTCTAACCTATTTTTTTTCCGCTCTTGCCAGTTTCTTCCATCTGAACCAATTAGCCTCCAGCATGGCAGAACAGAACCACTCTCCTGGGAAGGAGCTTCAACACTGGACTCGAGCAGAAGTTCCTGGAAAAAAAAGCTGGCATTCCCAGGCCTACACTCTTGGGGCCATTTCCAATTTTATGTCTACTTTTCTGACCTTTCCGATCTATAAGGTTGTGTTCCGACAACAGATCCATGCTGTGGCGGTGTCAGAAGCTCTGCGACAGCTTTGGCACGAAGGCCCTAAATACTTCTACAGGGGAATCTACCCACCTCTTCTCTCCAAGACGTTGCAAGGAACTCTCCTGTTTGGTACTTACGATAGCCTGCTATGTTCTCTCTCCCCTGATGGGCCACACTCCCTTGGACACCGCTGGGCTGCAGGGCTCATGTCTGGCGTGGTGGAGGCTGTGGCTCTCAGCCCCTTTGAAAGGGTGCAAAATGTGCTCCAGGATGGTCGCAAGCAAGCTCGCTTCCCTAGCACCTTCAGCATTCTCAAGGAATTCAATTCTTACGGGCTTTGGGGGCGGCTGTCGCTGGGCTATTATCGTGGTTTCTGGCCTGTCCTTCTCAGGAACAGCCTGGGGAGCGCTCTGTATTTCTCCTTCAAGGACCCCATCCAGGATGGCTTGGCAGAGCAAGGCCTGCCCAATTGGGTTCCTGCCTTGGTGTCTGGGAGTGTCAATGGAACTATCACCTGCCTAGTTCTCTATCCTCTGATTGTGCTAGTTGCCAATATGCAGTCCCATATTGGCTGGCAGAGCATGCCCAGCCTGCGGGCCTCTATCCAGAATGTGTGGGACACTAGGGGCCGAAAGGTGTCCCTGATCTACCGTGGGGGCTCCCTGGTCATCCTAAGGTCCAGTGTGACATGGGGCCTCACTACAGCTATCCATGACTTTCTGCTAAGGAGGTCTCATTCCAGGAAAGAGCTGAAAGACTGAGTAGCTGCAAGAAGTGTGGCCATGGCGATTCTAAGCCTTCCCTGGTTGGTCTAAATACCTACCTTTTTTGGCCTGGTTACCTAATACAATCATACTTTAGCATCTTTGAACAGCCAGTGCACTAGAGAAGTTCCCAACTACCAGCCTGTTGGGCACAGACAAAGCCCAGCAGCCTTCCTTGGTTAGAAAAAGAAAGTCACTCCTGTCTATCCACCGCTTCAACAGCCTCAGACCCAGGAGGCCTTTAAATAACTTGTAACCGAAATGAAATGTCATTCCTTTAAGGAATTTTTTGACAGTAAGAAGAAACTTAATTAGGCACTGTGAGTTCTGAGACCCCTACAGTTGTCCACTGGACCAAACTGAGTAGAGAACCAGGAACTCCAACTTCAAAGAACTAAGCTTGATTCTTAGGATGGGGATTCCACAGAACTTCTCAAATGCCTCTATTTCCATGACTTCGTTCACTACTCCTACTACCACTACTCTCACTTCTCAAGGCTGTGGATCCTAGCTTCAGGGTGGCAGTTGGGGCTGGAAATCCTAAATTAGACTTGCCTCAACTGATAAGGTGTCACAAGAACTGTTAGGGCTGGAGGTGGGCGTGAGGAGAAGTAGTGTGGTCCCTGGATGCAATCATGCCACAAACTTTCCCATGGCCATGCTTTGGCCCACACTATTCTGTCCACCTGTAGTGCTCCTTTTCCATATGCCACTCTGCCAAAATCCTTCCAAAACCTCAAAGCCCGACTCAGATGCCACCTTCTCTATGGACCCTTTTCTGATTTCCCACAACTAAATGTGATGGTAGTCTCTTGTGACGCCCCTCTCCAATAACACTTCGTACATTATGTTGCTGATCTATGTGGCCCTGTGTTCTTGGTGTTCTTCAATACCTCTTACTAGACTGTAAAACTCCTTGAAAGCAGGGATTCTTGTACACATTTTAAATCTCCCATTGTGCCTAGGTGCTCAATAATGTTGGCTGAATTATTGAACTGATTATCAAACTGTGATATGGTCTTTATCCTCAGGGTGCTGTCCCTTGTGCATGAAGATATTGTTACTGACTTACTGTCAGCAAGACACATGCCTTTGGGGGGTGATTTTGTTTTCTTTTATTAGCGGATTTAGTTTTGTGCTAATAATGATGATGCTGCAGATGATAATAATGATAATAATAAATAACTTTCAACTGGAACATTTGCTGAGTTTCTGTTATTGATAGCGTGCTTGCTATTAGCAACACTATAGGAAATGAAATTTCACCAACAGAAACATATTGCTTAACTGTCCCATTCAGTTCAACTGTAATTTTGAGGATTCCCAAGATGACAGTATATTGCAGTTTCCCCTTATAGATATGATAAATGACCTCCACTTGCACCTCCCTACCAAACAGAATTTGTCATTTATAATGATCTGATTCTAGATCCTTGTAGTGAGAATTCCTCACTGAACATCACAGAATTAAAGACACTGCTGTGGGTGATATGAGATCAGAGAGCATTTGTGAGTGAGGTCGACAGAAAATGGCTGGTACAGAATAACTGCAGATGAGTTCCTATGTCTCATCCCATGCAGACCTAATGAGGTGGGACAGTACTCTGGATTTTTAATGTGGTTATATTTTCTGACATTCAAAAATGGCTTTTGGGCTTGAGATCAATAAAATGAGGTAATAAATATCTGTGTCTGTTTAAAAGTTATGTAGAACTTAACACCAAAGCTAGTTGGTATAAACAGTTGAAAGAAAAATAATAAAAATCCCTGTATAAGTCCTGTGTATTTTTGTCTAAATGTAAACTACATCAGCTTCTAAAAGCAAAAGGTGAAATAATAAATGACAAATGTATTGCAACTATTATCACAATTATATGGTCTATTAAGACTTGTTTTAAAAATTATTTTAAAACAATAAATAACAATTTAACTGTTTTTGGGATAACTGCATACACTGTAGTATATTAAAGTTAATAAAATAATGTTATATATGAGAGAAAGCATAAAAATTTCAGGAAAAAAGTGAAAAGTTTGTATTAACTAATAAGATTAAAAAATACTATATTTCTCTGTTCTGTTCACTCTCCAACTTATTTCTTTCATACCATCTTCCTTCTCATCAAACCTTCCCCACCTTTCTCCATCCTCAATCCCAGTTGGTGACCTTGCTTTCCATTTCATTAAGAAAAGAGAAGCATCCAAAAGAGAACTGCCAATTAAAAAAAAACATGTATAAAGCTATCACCCATGTAATGACCACCCAGAACAAGAAATATATATTGATAATACCCCTCACCCCCCCTGCTCCCACAACCCCTAGTAATGACTTTCCTCCACCATCCTAGAGGTAACCCCTATCATGACTAGTGTGATATCATTTCTTTGTTTGTCTTTTTAAGTTTATCTTCCATATAAGTAAATATCCATAAACAACACAGTTTTGTTTTAGAGATATTTGAGCTTTATATACTTTATATACTTGGAATTGTTACTATCTTCTTTTACTTCACATTATTTGTGAGATTCATCCATGTTGTTGCAGATAGCTGCAGTTATTTCATTTTTGAAAATTGTGATAAATTTACTTTAAAAATCTTTGTTTCTTAGAGCAGTTTTAGGTTCACAACAAATTTGAGAAGAAGGTACAGGGATTTCCCATATACCCCTTCCCCCATATATACATAGCCTCCTCCATTATCAATATTCCTCACCAGAGTTGTACATTTGTTACAATTGATAAGCCTACATTGATATATAATTATCACTAAAAGTCCATATCTTACATTATGGTTCACTGTTGGTGTTGTACATTTTATGTGTTTTGACAGATGAATAATGATATGCATCCATTATTATAGTATCATACAGAGTTTCAGTGCCCCCCAAATCCTGTGCTCTACCTGTTCATCCCCCTTCAACTTCTGGCAACCACTAATCTTTTTACTGTCTCCATAGTTTAACCTTTAACAGAATGTCATATAGTTGGAATCATATAGTATGCAGCCTTTTCAGATTGGCTTCTTTTAGTTAGTAATGTGCATTTAAATTTCCTCCATGTCTTTTTATGGCTTGATAGCTCATTTCTTTTAAGCACTGAGTAATATTCATTGTCTGAGTGTATGAATTTTTTTTATTGTTAGTTTCAGGTGTACAGAACAATGCAATAGTTACCCTTTTCACCCTCACAAAGTAAC